CGGCGTGCAAACCCCAGCATTGCTTCCATCCGTTTCTGTCTCTCGCTGGCGTCATCGATGTACTCGGCTGGGACCTATTGAACTGCGGCGGCGACTTCGCGAGATCCAGATAGATTAAATCTTTTTGGCTGAGAATTCAGCTGATCCCTTCGTGTAATGAACACGTCAGCCCATTTAATCGGTGACCTCCCTCGAGGACGTTTTCTTTGAGAGAAATCCATTCCAGAGTTCTTAGTGTCCGTTGTCTGTCCTTGTGACCAGCCCATCAATGTTTTGCCAAGAAGACGAGATATTGATTTCTTACCTGAATTGCGAAGTCTGACGAGATGTTGAGAGTGTCGGTTTTACTTCAGAAGGCGTCATCTAGCGCTTTGTGAGTGAGAGTTTTGACGTAGCCACCGTGTCAGGCCATGTCTCTTCTGCGTAAAAGATCGCAGGGAGAAGATGGAATCGAACAGGTACGCTCAAACTTTGAGTCCGTCAGGTAGTCTGTGGCTTCCATAAAGGCCCAAAAGCAGCCCAAACTGCTCGTCACCTCCTGTTTAGTTCCTTTTTCAAATCGCCTCTATGTTTATTGAACATCTGGGTATATGAAGACTCTTCAAGATTGGAGAGCCTTCTGAGCCTATCTCCGGCTTCTTGCAAAAGTGTTCGTCAACTGAGTCTTGTTTCGGTTGATTCGCTATCCTATCTTCTTCCCTACTTTGTTTAGCTCCTTCAGAATTATTTCCGTTTTGGTGTGTTCCTCGAAAAGAAAACGATATCGTCTGCATAACGAAGATTTGAGAAGAAATCCCATCAACTCGTATACCCCTCTGTTCCAGTACAATGATTTTATCAGCTACTGCAAGGTGGAAGTAAGTAAACACCTCTTACGACGCGATTTCGTTTTGTCGAGCTCCCTTGGCAGTTGGTATACCTAAGGGAGTGATGAAAAAGTTGTACGGTTGCAGAGCAGTTCTTATTTGCAGTCGACCATTGTCTTCACTAAGACAGCGGTGAAGGTAGGGTGTTAGTTCGTTGCTGTCAAACGCTCCCTCGTAGTGAGGAAGGTTAGGATAAGAAGTGGGCGATACTATCAGCAGGCTTCGGTAGTCCTCGAAACCGCCTGTATATGATCCCACCGCTGCATCCCCACGAAATCCAGCTTTTCTTTAGGTTGGGCTCATGGGTCCTTGATGTGCGAGTGAATATAATCATCAGATCAGATAAGCTTATAAAGCACGCTTAGCATGTTGGAAGGTAGTTCGAAAGGTCTACCTATCCCCCTTCTTACCAAGGAGGATTTTTCGAGAGGTTCTCCAAGAGTCGGAGATTCTTTGCTTTTGAGGACTAGTTAGGTTTGCCACAAGTATCTTTTGTAGGCGATGTGTTCTAGCTCGTAAAAGTTGTCCGGAGACGTTGTCTGGTCCATGAGCCGAGCCCTTCATGGCCTGGATTGCGACGCCTCCTTTAGGTGATACAATCCGTGGTGGTGTTCATCCAGTGAGGACCACGTTTGACACGGGTTTGGTGTTTGTCATCTTCTTCGTATCCATTCTATCTTTTGTCGAAATGTGCGAATCTTGCCTTTGCTAGTTTTGTCGGCGGAATACTATAGAGAAGGTCTCTCTCACTCTTCTGAGGAAAGGTTCCTTCATTGGGTCCTCCTCGATGGGCCAGTCACAAGTGATCAGGAACTCCTCCAATCTGATGCACTCATTTACGATTTTCCTCCTTCCTCCAAACTGACAGGTTTTCTTTTCCAACTTTCAGGCTCGAAATAGACGTGCTGAAGGATGGTACCGCTACGACCTCCAGTAAGCACCATCTTTGATTGATAAGAAGGTGGTGATCA